GGCTGGCTTTTCCTCCTTCTGTTCGCCCCGAACCCATTGGGCATATGTCTCCTCACTCATGTCTTGGACTTCACTGAAGACCACCTTTCTGTCAAGCTTTCCAGACTTCAGAAGTGGTACATATTGGACAACAAGCCAAATAGAAGGAATCATAAAAGCAGGGAGCTGATTTGAGATTCTTTCGCGCGCCATAGCGACAGTAGCTTGTGTTTCTTCTTGCTTCGCTTTATCGACGAATTGAAGAGCGGAGCCGTCCATTCCAACGCTTGCTGCTGATATAGCCTGCAAAGAGACCACAGCCACAAGACGATGCTTACAAAAACCAGCTTTGGGCATTAATACGACGGACTGGTGAACAGCTGGTTCGTTTGCGAGATGATATTCAATCTCGCCGAGTTCAATCCTTTGTCCATGAAGCTTCACTTGTGTATCTTTGCGTCCGACAAAATGAAGCATACCATTTGAAGTGTTGTATCTGACAAGGTCACCGGTCTTGTACATCCATCGTTTGGGAGAATCTCCGCCGCCATTGGTCGCCCAAGCAGGACTCTCTATGAAAGAATCGCGTGTTCGCTGTGGATCGTTCAGATATCCTCGTGCCAAAGTAGGACCCTCTATCACAAGCTCTGCGAGGCAGCCTGGAGGAAGAAGTCGCTCGTGGTTTTGTGGATCGACAAGCCAACACCGCACGCCGATACCACGTCCTATTTGAGTAGGATCTTTGTTCGCAGACACGTTAGAATTTGCCACTGCAGCGACTGAACATTCAGCTGGACCGTAGCCGTTAATGAGTTTGATAGAAGACCACGTCGAGATGTTTTCCTGGCTCATTACTTCCCCAACAAGAAGCAGAGTCCTCAGTCGAGGTACTACGGAAGGAGTGAGGAAATTGGCAACAGAAGGTGTGAGTACAGCCCATTCTACTCGCATTTGGTTGATAGCTGCGGCAAGTTCATTGATACGCGACTGTTCGTTCGGAACGCAGACAGTACCCCCGAGCATGAGAGGGCAAAGAGTCTCCTGGATGGATGCGTCAAACACATAGGACGCATATTGTAGGGCGCGCAGGCCCCGGTCCATGCACAGCGCTGATTCTTGGGCTTTGGCAGCTGAGCAAAATGCGCCGTGTTCAATGACAATCGCTTTGGGCTCTCCGGTCGACCCAGACGTGAAAACGACATAGACAATGTTTGATGGCGAAGCTCGAGTCCTTATATCTGAAGATCTTCCAGGTAAACACCTGAGTGTCTCAGCGTCAATCACAAGGACCTTATCGACAAGAGATGATAGCTTTTGGTAATGCGTCCGTGAGCACAGCAAAATCTTTGCCCCAAGCTTGCGGGTGAGACCTTCAAGACGAGTCATTGGCTGTGTGGCGTCTAGAAGGCAGAATCCTGCTCCCGCTTCCAGAACAGCCAGTATTGCAACCGTCGTCCAGATGGATTTCTCGAAACAGAGTGGCACAACGACGTCCGGGCCAGCGCCCATACTTGACAAGACTCGTCCCATGCGCTCAACATGAATCCACAGATCACGAAATGTCAGAGACCCATCCCATGCACACACTGCCTCAAATTCGGGGTTCTTCAGAACCTGTCCATGGATTATGTCATGCACGCACTCATTAGACTTCTCAATTGGAGGCTGACTCCAAAGATCGATCTGACGCTTCTGGCGGTCGCTTACGTAACTCAAGTCCACCAATTGCGTTTCTGGCGAAACAACAATGGTAGTCAATAGGTGATCGAGAGTGCTTGCAAGAATCTTCATATAGCCTGGGGAGACATCGCAGCTATGCGATTTCAAAGTCAGCTTCACCGTGCTATATGTGAAGGCCGCAAGGAGCCAAAGGTCTCCCTATCGCAGATGTCAGATTCTACTTCTTGATGGAAACTAGGGCTGGTGGATCAGAATACCTTTTGAATAGTAACATCTTGCGTATCTTCACAACTAGCGTCCTCGACCCATACATGGGTGTTTTGGTAATGTGACGCAGAGAAAGATCTCGAGTCCGATACTGTTGAGACTAAAGACGGAACTCCCCGCTCATTATCTGCATAGCTATCTTTCGCCCTCGCAACACACGTCGAGAGACTTTCCTGCTCGCAAAACTCCATTCGAAAAATGGACTGGCGGTCTCGGGGTATGGCTGACTTTGAGGCCAGGCCATCAACGTTGCCCTGTCCAAAATGGAAGGATACATTGTCTTGGCCTGTATAACAGCGCAAGAGAAGGCCCCAAGCGGTACATAGCATGTCATTGAAAGATGCTCGGTCTCCCTTGCCTAGATTCTGGAGTCTGTCTGGATTCTCAAGTTCCACTTCAGTCATCATCAGCCGAGATCTAGTAGTGTCTTCCCCGTCCAGTAGAGAGAGCTTGCAAGACATTGCTTCCAGTTGGGACATGGCTGCGTGTTCGACTTTCTTGCGGGTAACGAGGACTTGTGCTCTCTGTTTTCGGGTCTAGATATGATTCTGTAAGTGATACAGGTGAGGTTGAAGATCGTAAAGCCAAGGTGTCTGGTCCTTTCCTGAAATTTGGTTGTGAGTGTGCAGTCTTTCTCGCTCTGCAGGATGTAAAGGACCGAACTGGGAACGTTTGTGCTCCGCCGCTATTCGTGAGCATTAGCTGGAGGTGATGCTTGACGCCGAGGCCTCCATTGCCGACATGATTGGTCACTTCTTCATTTAGCAACAGACCGAGCTCCACGCAAGTGGACCCCAAAGGAGACCGGCCTGCATTCTGTGCGTATTCCCAGACAGAAACCAAGTTTCCATCCTGGTTGCTCAAGGCGATCCCTAGATGACGTTTCACCAAATGTGTAGGCTTTCCGTAACGGTCAAAACCGGAAGGCTGACAGGCTAATGCAACGGCTGCCATTCCTGTAGAGAGTAGTTTGATTTCCATTACATCAAAATAATCGCTATGTGGTATGCGACCCGCTTGTGGCGCCGTTCCGTTGTGGAGTCCTGAGAACTTGAAGGGATGGAGTATTTGGCGGCGACACCAAGTGACACGACTAAGGAAGGAGAATGTTGAAGCTGGATTCACGCTCCAAGTGTGGTCAGACCGGGGTCCTGTTAGCGGCCGTCAGGTCTCAGGTCTCGCTCTGAATGACGCGCCAAGATCTCCATAGCGTCGCTGGCATACTTCCGCAACAGGGAAGAGGAAGCTCTCTGATCTCCCAAAAGGTACCTCGATAGTATTTAGGAGAGCGTGGCTGGGGTAAAAGAGGGTTTGTCGACCAATCATGCTCGCTTACAAGCGAGCACTGTCCCAGTATGCAGGTCTGACAAGACATTTTAATTGAGAGATCGTTGTCCTTGTCCCGTTCCTGTGCAGGTGGAGGTTGGGCATCACGGAGGCATCTCAATCAGCAGGTTTACATGTGTCATGTTCAGGTAAGTTCTTGGTTTTGCAGCGGCGGAGCGTGGGGGTATTGCGGGGTAGAAAGATTGAAATTTTCAGCTACATGATTTGGGTAGATTAGTCGTATGCACGAACAAAGCCAAAATAGCTAGGTACGCAGCACAGTTGGTTTGGTTGGTCGGAAAATGCTGCAAAGCGCTTAAGTTTACCGTTTCATGCGAGTTGACCGTTTCTGCATGCGACGCCATGTGCTCGGATCGCTGTTGCATTGATCTTGCAGGGAGCACAAGGGTATACCTACATTCACTCATACTCTGTAAGGTAATCTCCGACCCCATGTCGATGCCGCTGATGATTAGATGATGAGCCGATCATTCAATGAAGACTTTTGATCATTCCTGGAGGGTCATGATAGAAATTAGATTTGTGTATGTTCTAGTCTGATGGAATTCTGAGCAGGTAGTGAGTGGGTAGATACGGAAGGGAGGGAGGGAAGAGTGACGGTACTTTACTCGATACTTAGCCCTAGGGTACTTAGCCCTACTTAAGGTACCTTAGCCCTAAAATCCTTAGCGTTTTTAGCCTGCTCTCTAGCCAAGGAACAGTCATGTTGTGACGATTCCCCCAGACGCCACAATACTGCTTCAGGCAAAGTCTGGAAAATGCCGTTAAGTGTCAAGTTTTTCAAGCCGCTGAGGCGTTTTACTTTTAATACTTTACCTTAAGTTGTACTTACTCAACCAGGCTTAGCAGCTTTGGCTGTGACAACGGGAAAACCCTCAAAATTCAAAATTCAAAATTCAAAATTCGATTAAAAAATCTCGTTCTTCCCCCCATTCTAAAATTCCCCTATTCCTAACCGTCGAATCCTGACCAGACTAGCTACGTGGTTCGTCCAATGACCGTACAGAAAAATGTCTTCATCCTTGCTTTCAATCGTCCTCTAGCCGGCGCATATACAACGGCCCCCATTCCGAATACATCTCTAACCTCTTAGAGTAAATAGCTCTCTATGTGTGGAGTCCGATGAGTCGGGTTCGCCGCTCCCAGGCGAGGATTGGGATGAAATCACACTATCGAGTTCCAAGGGACACTAATTTAGATAGACTGCAGCTTCATACTTCACATCACGACGTCAGGCGAGTAGCCGGAAATGTAATACAGGAGATCTGGTACAGCTCATCTTCTGAAGGTACATGGGACATGACCAACGAGGTTAGCGCTGATTATCCGCACAACCGGGATGGAGCCAGTGTTGCCGTCCATCAAAGAGCCATCAACAATAAAGCTACAACTACCCGAAAGAGGTAAACCTTGCATCAGCGGCTGCAAGTTGTGACCCTACTCAGGCAAGCATGCACTCAACATGATGCGTTCCAATCCGCTGCACACCCTGTACCTGTACACTGGACGCTGGCAACCGAGCTGTGCTTCCTAGCCTCGTCCTCATGGGAATGCATTCCCCACGTATGCTCGACCGGGTCTGATCCACGCACTCCGCGTCAATCTCATGCTCACGAAAAACTTCCTCTCGGATATACCAAAGGACTCCCAAGATCAACAGCCTCAAGACCCTGCGCGAGAGCTGCATTTCATGCCACAGTCTTGTCGAGTACTCCATCACAGCGGGAATGGCGACACCGGAATCATGCAAGCAAGTCGATGACACCTTCGGTCCTTATGCAGAAGGCTGCCGCGGCGGGTTTGATTTCACTTTACTGTTCGAAGAAAGCATTCTATCAATCCTCCCCCTGGCCTTGCTGCTCATCGTGGTACCTTTTCGAATCTCATACCTCTTTCGAAGAACCATCAAAGTCGATCCGAGTTCTTGGTTAGCGTCTAAACTGGTAGGTGGCCCCACCCAACGCTGCATATCGCATTGCACCGCTCGTTGGAATGAAGCTGAAACTTTGCCGGTGCAGGTTCTCTATGCAGTTCTCGGAGCGACGCAGCTCGCTCTCGTTGCGCTATGGGCAAAGCCGACAGCTACCAAGACCACAGCATCGGTAGCGGATGCTGTCCTTAGCTCAGTGGGTGCTCTTGCATTAGCGATCCTCTCCTTCGTGGAGCACGAGCGCTCCATCCGACCCTCCTTAGTAATACAGTCCTATTTGTCTTTGACACTTCTGCTTGATGCCGCTCGAGTCAGAACACTTTGGCTGCAATCTTACAACGATGCTGTCGCTGCTGTCACTACCGTTGCATTTACACTCAAGTTTCTCCTCATCATATTTGAGGCGGTCGAAAAACGCAGTATCTTGCATCCTGAATGGAAGTCGACTTCGCCCGAAGCCACCAGCGGACTATTTAGCCGATCGGTTTTCTGGTGGCTCAACGGTCTTTTTCGGAATGGTTTCAAAAGGTCTCTCTCTATGGAAGATTTGCTTCCGCTCGACAAGCACCTAACATGCGCCTACCTATACGACAGACTACAGACAGCTTGGGTAAATGTGCCGACCAAGGCTCCCCGGTCGCTGCTTTTTCTATATTTCGGCAGGCTCAAATGGCGTCTTCTCTCAGCGGTTCCACCGCGCTTAGGCCTCATCGCGTTCAATTTTTGCCAACCGTTCTTGATCCAACGCGCCATCAGTTTCTCCTCGCGGCCCAAGTCCGAAGATCCGAACAACGTAGGCTATGGCCTGATCGGCGCATACTTTCTCGTGTACGCTGGCATTGCCATCACGACCGGCCAATACCAGCACCTGACGTATCGCGCAATAACCATGGCCAGAGGAGGGCTTGTCTCGATGCTGTTCGCCAAGACATCGTCATTGAAGGCAAATGCAGCTGATCCTGCGACATCACTGACTCTTATGAGTGCTGATATCGAAAGGATCACCAACGGATGGCAGACAATGCACGAGATTTGGGCGAATCCAATTGAGATTGCCCTTGCTATCTACTTGCTGGAACGGCAGCTTGGAGCAGCTTGTGCTATTCCAATCGCAGTGGCCATAGGCAAGTCAACCTTTCTCATTGACCAGGAGCGACCGTGGTCACCACAAGTGGCAACTTAGGTACGTCTCCAGTGCTGACAGGTTTTCCCTATCATAGTTTCATTGTTAGGCTCGCTATTCGTCATGAACTTGGTGGTGCAAAGACAGGCTCTCTGGCTCGAAGCTATAGAGAGACGAATCAGCGCCACCACAAAAATGCTGGGCTCGATGAAACGCATCAAGATGTGCGGCTTAGCCGACACTCTGTTCGATAATCTGCACAGCCTGAGGTTGCAAGAATTAGAGATCTCCAAAAGTTTCCGAAGACTACTAATTGGAAGCATGTTTTTCGCTTACACTACCCCTGTGATTGCTCCCGTCCTGACTTTTATGGTCTTTTCGCTCATAGCTCTAAGGAGCAATGGTAACAGCACCCTGGATACTAGCAAAGTTTTCACGTCGCTTTCGCTGTTTGCGCTTCTCGCTGACCCTCTGTCCTCGCTGATCATGGCCATGAGTGCTTTTGCCGGCTCTTTAGGCTGCTTTGGCCGCATTCAAGTCTTTTTGGATACGCCTGAACATGTAGATAAAAGGATCAAGCCCTTTCAGTACGAATCTGACAATGGACAAAGCTCTCAAAGCGATACCAGCGCCAGTGACAGTCTCAGATGGACCGAGAAGTCCTCCCAGTCTCGCATGACTTCCACAAATGACAGAGGGATCATGTCTTTTCCAGGGTCTCATGCCGACTTCATGTGCGTAGAAGACGGTAGCTTCGGCTGGGAAACAGAGAAGGAAGCTCTGCTGTCGTCGATCAATCTGAGCATTCCGCAAGGAAAGTTGACAATGATAGTGGGGCCTGTAGGCTGTGGTAAAACGATACTGCTGAAAGCGCTCCTGGGCGAGGTCCCTGCGCTGTCCGGGACCATCAAACTGTTTGCCGGTGACGTATCCTACTGCGATCAGTCACCTTTCCACATGAACGGCACCGTACGGGACAGTATCACCGCATTTTCCGAGTATGATGATCGTTGGTACAACACTATACTCGAGGCTTGTGCTCTAGACGAAGATCTGCGTCAGATGCCGTTGGGTGACCAGACACAAATCGGAAGCAAGGGCATCGCACTGAGTGGAGGCCAATGCCAGAGGCTCGCATTGGCTCGCGCTGCTTACTCACGACATGACCTATGCATCCTCGATGACGTACTCAGCGGTCTAGATATGGACACCGAACAGCGGGTCTTTCACAGTCTTTTCGGCCGGGATGGGTTACTACGCCGCCAAGGTACCACCAGTATCCTCGCTTCCTCCTCCAGCAGGCGAGTTCCCTTCGCAGATCACATAGTCGTCCTCGACGTGGACGGCAAAATATCTGAACAGGGAAACTTTAAGGAGCTCAATTCAGCCGGCGGCTATGTCTCAAGCTTTGAGCTGCAGCCAGCGGATTGGACTGTTCAATCCACAGAGATGACAAACCTAGATCAAGTCTTAGCCATGACCACTACAAGTAAAATCGTCCATCCCACATTGCCACCATCCAAAGAAGCGACAGAGACGATAGAATTCGAAGCGAACAAGCGAACTGGTGATCTTGCCATCTACACCTACTACGCGAGATCTGTCGGTTGGTTTGCAGTGGTAACCTTCATCGTCGCCATGTGCGCTTACGTATTCTGTATCTCCTTTCCACAAGTCTGGCTTGGCTGGTGGGCGGCCGCAAATGCTCAGCGCCCAAACCAAAAGCTAGGCTACTATCTCGGCATCTACGCTATGCTCGGTGTGATGGGCCTCATCTCTCTAATCATCAGTTGCTGGCAGATCATCATCACCATGGTACCCCAATCAGGAGAAAACTTCCACCATCGACTGCTGAAAACGGTGCTCGCAGCTCCACTGACCTTTTTCTCCACGACCGACACCGGTGTTACGCTCAACCGATTTTCGCAAGACCTCCAACTCATTGATATGGATCTTCCACTCTCCGCACTGAATTTCGTTGCAGCCTTCATCCTCTGCATCGCGCAAATCATCCTCATCGGAATCTCCTCAGTCTACGCCGCAATATCGTTCCCCGTCTGTTTTCTCTTCGTCTACTTGATCCAAAAATTCTACCTGCGCACCTCCCGTCAACTACGATTCCTCGATCTCGAAGCCAAATCACCACTCTATTCTCTATTCAGCGAGACCATCGCCGGACTCACCACGATTCGCGCATTCGGCTGGCAACGTTCTCTAGAGGCGAAAAACCGCCACCTCCTGGACCAGTCGCAGCGACCATTCTATCTCCTCTTCTCCGTGCAGCGCTGGCTACAACTAGTGCTCGACCTTCTCGTCGCCGCAATAGCCATAATGCTCATGTCGCTCATCACTGGCCTACGCGGTGTCCTCAGTGGCGCCTACGTCGGCATCGCGCTCCTGAACGTGATCCTCTTCAGCCAGACCCTAAAGCTCGTATTGCAGTACTGGACGATGCTCGAAACGCACATTGGAGCCGTCAGCCGAATCCGGAACTTCACCAGCACCACTAACCCCGAGGACACGTCCCAAGAGACGGCGGTACTGCCACCCGACTGGCCCGCCCAAGGCGCCATCGAATTCCACTCCGTAAGCGCAGGCTACGAGAGCAACCGCGCGGTCCTCAAAGAAGTCACGCTCTCCATCCGAGGCGGCGAGAAGATCGGAATCTGCGGGCGCACCGGCAGCGGCAAATCATCTTTGATACTGACGCTCTTCCGGATGCTAGAGCTGCGCGCGGGCAGTATCACGATTGACGGGCTGGACTTGAGCACCATCCCGCGACACGAAGTGCGGTCCCGAATCATCGGGCTGCCGCAGGATGTATTCCTCCTGAATGGGAGCGTGCGGCTGAACATCGATCCGTACGGGCGGGCTACGGACAAAGCACTCATTGCGGCTTTGCAGGATGTAAGGTTGTGGGAGGGGATACAGGGGAAAGGGGGCCTAGACGCCGACATCGAAGACGTGAATCTCTCCCATGGACAGAAGCAGCTTCTCTGTCTGGCTCAAGCGCTGTTGAGGCAGAGTTCTATCCTCGTTCTCGACGAAGCCACAAGCAGGTATGCACCTCCTCCCCCATCATCCCAGCACACACTACCCTCTGCCCACCCAACTTCCACTTCACCACTATATACCTACATACCGACTAACCCACATCCGCACAGTCTCGACGACGTAACCGACGCGCTGATGCAGCGCATCATCCGGCAGAAATTCTCCCGCCACACCATCATCGCCGTAGCGCACAAACTGGACACGATCACCGATTTCGACAAAGTGGCCGTGCTGGACAAGGGGACGCTGGTCGAGCTCGACAGTCCGTACAAGCTGCTGGCGCAGCCGTCGTCGGCGTTTAGTCAGTTGTACAGGAGCTCGGTCCCCGATGGGGGGTGATGACGGTAATGATGATGATAAGAAAGTAGTGGGAGAGTGCTTCCGATGGCGATCGAGTGGGGGCGCGGGAAGGGGGAAGGGGAAAAATTGTCAAACTCCGCCAGTCTTTCCGCAACGACAAACCGAACAAAAGCGTCTCTTGCATTTCCTACCATATACACACCAGTACATACTCTGATCCATCAATCAATCAAAATTCCACGAATGCTGTACTGTAGCCGAACCCTCAAAACCGTTCGTTATACATCCACTCCAACACCTTATCTCCGTATCCTCGACCTGAGTAAGTTCTATCTCTCTCAGCAAGGGCGCGAAGTCTCGCTCTTCCCCCCTTCAGAAGGGAATGAAAGTAGTCGGTGCACGAAATGTGGCTGCTAGGAGAGGAGTTGCAACTCGGTGCCACTTGGTTGATTGATGGGGTTTGTTAAGGGTTAGTGATTGTAGAGGAGGGGTGGGGAAGGTGGGTGATTGATGTTGTTGTATGCAACGGGAGGAAACCGGTAGAATTACATCGGCGAATCCTCGGCCCGAACTTCTCCGGCGCTAGCCGTGGGCCTGCACTCATAAGGTACCTTTCTGGCAACCTCGAAGCTTTCACCTATACCACCAAGTACTTCCGCCCCAACCCGAGATGACAACCCGCTACCGAGTCGAATACGCGCTCAAGACCCATCGACGGGACCAGCTCATCGAATGGATCAAAGGTCTCCTCGCCGTCCCCTTTGTGCTACACTCGCAGCCCACGGCCGCATACGACAACCGGCAGGACATCCTGGTCAAGATGGCCCGCACGGCTCACGGACGGTACGCGGAGATATTGCATGATGTATGTACGTATTTATACTCCTGGCTGGTTAGCCCGACGGCAAGGAAGGAAAGAAGGGGAAATATCGACTGCTGGAGGGCACCCTTCCCGCCATATGCACCTACTTACCTCCTGCTCTCATACACCCGTAGCCCCTCACGCTTCTGCTACTCCAAATAAATTTCCCAACTTAAGACCGAGACTGACTGACCGGCTACACGTCCTCAGGTGGAAGACCTGATCAACGACCACATCGCGCACCAAAGGGACGGTACGCACCAACGGTCCAAGTTGAAGCTGCTAGTTCCAAGCGTCGGGGTCTTTTTCACGCCGTTGCTGCTGGAAGAGGCGTTTGAGTATCAAGACCGACAGCGGAGGATCAGCTCGCGCCGCTTCGTGCCGCCTTCTTTCAACGATATTCGGTTGATTTTGAATTCGGCGCAGGTTCTGAGTTTGGTGAGGGGCGGGCCTCTGGAGCTGGTGACGTTTGATGGGGATGTGACGCTTTATGGTGCGTATCTGACGGTGGTGATTCGTCGTTCAACTTCCAACCATTGGATAAATAATGGCTTCTGTCCCAGCTTTCTGATGTGCGGGCAGCTAGCCTATAGTACCCGACCCTCCCACAATACCCTGTTTTCCCCCAAGATCTTTTCACGGCTAATATCTTCCTTCCTCAGACGATGGTCAGTCATTGACCGCTGACAATCCGGTAATCCCAAGAATTTTGAGCCTCTTAGCTCAGGGTACCAAGGTCGGCATCGTGACAGCAGCAGGCTACACTGAAGCGAAGAAATACTACGGCCGTCTCTATGGCCTTTTGGAAGCAATCAAAGCCGCTGTGACCCTGAAACAAGTGACCGACCCAGAGCTGATCATCCTGGGCGGAGAAAGCAACTTCCTCTTCCAACTTGACACTTCCGCTGAATACCTTCTGAGATACGTCGAAAGGAACGAATGGCTGCTCCCGGAAATGCAACAATGGACTGAGGAAGACATCCAAGCTTTGCTGGATGTCGCTGAGAAAGCCCTGCGTGAGTGTATCTCTGGCATGGAGTTGTCGGCCGAAATCTTGAGGAAAGAACGGGCCGTTGGGATCATTCCAACCACAGCGCCAAAAGCTCGAAAGTTCACCCGTGAGCAACTAGAAGAAACCGTACTAGTAACGCAACAAGTTGTTGAAATGTCACCAGCTGCACGAAGGCTGCCTTTTTGCGCTTTCAACGGAGGCAATGATGTGTTCGTGGATATTGGCGACAAGGGATGGGGTGTTCTCGCATGCCAACGATACCTCGGCGGTATCGAGGGAAGTAAGACCTTGCATGTTGGAGATCAATTCCTGTCCGCTGGAGCCAATGACTTCAAAGCAAGATTGGCGTGTACAACTGCATGGATAGCAAATCCTGGAGAGACCGTCCAGCTACTGGACGAGTTGACCACTCACAGCCAGGAACAAAGATGAAATTGGAGTGGTTTGGTACCTCTGGAGCGGTGTAGTGATTGATCACATCATCACAACACCTCGCCTGGCGCAAAGCTTGCGTCTGTTGGTCGGTTTACCCGCTGCACCTTGGTTGAAACAGCGAGTCTCGGCTTGAAACGATGGCACTAGTTCCAAGATACGCGACACTTTCGAGAACGCCATGTCTATATGACGCGGATCATATCGGCAATGCGCCGGTATGTGCAGCAGCGCCATCGTTCTCGATAAAGTATTTCTCCATCACGCCATTGTCTTGCACTCACAACCGAATGTGAGAACGAGCCAGTGGACGATCAAACTTCGATCAGCTGAGGCTCTGGGCTTAAGCCTCTGTTTCTGCCTCCTCACATCCATCCGCTTTGCGCCATCGCTGGAGACGTCTTTCTTGAAGAGAGATACCACTTGGCACGCGTGTTCCTTGCCTTGAGCTGCGGCTCTGCTCCTTCAATTCCTATTCGCAGAAACACGCCCTCACTAGCGGCGCCCGTCGACCTTGTCCGCATCTGTTCCCACGTTGGTTGTAACTACTCGACCTCTGATGCCGCAGTTTCTGCTATCTGCTAGCAAGACTGCTCTACAAAAACGCCCTCCCTCCATTCATCAAATACCATGCTAAATATTAGATCCTTCACTACCACAATTTACCTCCTTCGCACCATCCTGGAACGTGGCTTTCAGCCTCAGCTACTTCGGGGCGCAAAAGGCTATCCAGTTGTCCTCGGTTGAAGAAGACCACTTACAACAACAACAACAAGAAAAGACAGTCTGGCGATGCGTATGCCTTTGCGATTTGATAGTGACGGCATGGGACTAAGGCCGCAGCTAGAGGTATCCAAAATCTACATTTCAGTGGAGAGAACCCATGCCGGCGACCGTATCTGTATTGGTGGGATGTACATACGAAGCCAGGCTTTCACCGGGCCCGGGCGTTCGTTCAATCCCAGTTCCTTGGGACGGCCGGCTACAGAAGTTACATCGCGAAGAAATCGACATTGCGGCACTACGAAAGGCCTCGGATGAATCTTTGATATCTAGCAATGTCAGGCCTAGCAATGTCAAGTTTCAAACGTCAAAACATGCTGTATACTGGCCAACAGATGAACCAGAAGACATTGAAAGCTCAAAACCCAAAAATTGAAAACCAAAAATGTACTATCGCAAAACAAGCACTCCACATCAAACACCTCCAACCGCCGTAATCTTTTTTCCAACACAGCAATGATCACAAAGCCTATCCCCAGCCCGTCGAATTTGTAACATATGAATAAACCCCAATCACGTTCAATTCGATCCAAATGGAAAACCTGTCCTGTAAGATGGTGCCTACCAGCCGTGTCGAAGGCGCTGTTTCTGATTTGGAAATCTGTTGTAGGGGTGCTGGTAGGACGGAAATAAGTAGGTAGGGAGGTAGGGAAATAGGTAGGTAGGGAGGTAGGGAGGTAGGGAGGTAGGTAGGGAGGTAGGTAGGTAGGGAGGTAGGTAAGCAGGTAAGTAAGTAGGGAGGTAAGTAGGTAGGTAGGTATGGAGGTAGGGAGGTAGGGAGGTAGATAGGTGTGGAGGTTAGTAGGTAGGGAGGTAAGTAGGTAGGGAGGTAAGTAGGGAGGTAAGCAGGTAAGTAGGGAGGGAGGTAAGTAAGCAGGTAGGTAGGTAGGTAGGGAGGTAGGTAGGGAGGTAAGTAGGGAGGTAAGTAGGTAGGTAGGGAGGTAGGTAGGTAGGGAGGTAAGTAGGTAAGTAGGGAGGTAGGTAGGTAGGTAGGGAGGTAGGGAGGTAGGGAGGTAAGTAGGTAGGTAGGGAGGTAGGTAGGTAGGGAGGTAGATAGGTATGGAGGTAGGTAGGTAGGTAGGGAGGTAGGGAGGTAGGTAGGGGGTAGGTAGGTAGGTAAGTAGATAGGTAAGTAGGTAGGGAGGTAGGTAGGTAGGTAGGTAAGTAGGTAAGCAGGTAGGTAGGTAGATAGGTAGGTAGGAGGTAGGTAGGTAGGTAGGGAGGTAGGGAGGTAGGGAGGGAGGGAGGGAGGTAGGGAGGTAGGGAGGTAGGGGAGGAAGGTAGGGAGGTAGGTAGGTAGGGAGGTAGGTAAGTAGGTAGGGAGATAGGAAAGTAGGGAGGTAGGGAGGTAAGACGGAAATAAATAGGTAGGTAGGGAGGTAAGTAGGGAGGTAAGCAGGTTTCTAGGTAGGAAGGAAGGCAGGTAGGGAGGTAAGTAAGCAATGAAGAAAGCGAAGATGACAAGTAAGACACACAACATGGGTATGGATGACATCGCGTATACGACATGCAGACACTGTACTAGTACGCTACACCCAGCCATAGCGAGTGATGGGAAAAAAAGGAAGGTGTCAAGTCGGAGGATCGACGGTCTTTGGTGGCACATAGTTCTGCACCCTTTTTTTCTTGTTTTCGGTAGCTTTCTGAAACATTGATTGCCGTTTGGGTCTAGAGATACGATAGCTACGGTAGCGGTGTGTAATTCATGCGAACAAATGTGAGAGGGGTCTGCGTTCTTGCTTCGTGTCGGTGATGGAATGCAAAGCACGTCATGATATTAGCATCGTTGTGCTCTCCGCCGTGAATTACTCCTCGGTTCCGTCTCCTGCTCTCGCATCTTCCAAAGTTCCCTTCTCTGATCAATCTACGTCGTCCTCGGAGTCCATGTCCTCCCAATCAGTAGCATCTGGACGACTACCCTCCGAATCTGGACGGCTACCCTGCGAATCT